CTCTCTCTCTCTCTCTCTCTCTCTCTCTCTCTCTCTCTCTCTCTCTCTCTCTCTCTCTCTCTCTCTCTCTCTCTCTCTCTCTCTGTTTACAAAATATCTAAACATTCCCCTCCTCCTCCTCCTCATCTTATTCCAACCCCATATACCTTCTGTTATTCTTCCTCCCTCCTCCTCCTTCTACCTCTGCCTCCTCCTCCTCTTCCTCCTCCTCCAACATTCTTTAACACAGATGCATGTTCACGAAATGCTCCTTATTCTTGAACACAGGGCCCCACACATCGACCTGAGGATTGGCCTTCTTAGCCTTGGTCCTTGTCGAGGCCGTGTTGCCCTGGGGGTTGCTGTTGTAAGCGCCCATCTGCATTGCCTTGTAGGTCGAGCGCCTGGAAGGAAAGAAAACGGGGGCGTTAGTCTTCTGTTTTGGGATTGGTTGGTCTTCCTTTTTCATTTTCGGTTTGTTTGAGAAGGGGATGCTTTGGAATTTTATATCTATATGGATTTGCTCTTTAATTAGATTAAATGGATTGATATGGAGGGGTTATCTATTGGGTATATCTGCATGTTAAAAAGAGAAAAATAAAATATGAACACACCTGGCCTGGGCGTCATCAACGTAGGTGTTGGCGGAGTAAGTGTGTTCCTGAACCATCTTGATTGCTTGTTTCTTCTTCGGTGACCTTCTGGCTCACTCAGGTAAATGCTATGTAAATTCAAGTATAACTTGCGAGTGCAACAAAAATCTCAAGATGTTTTTATAAGGAGACTTGCAAAGAAATCTTTATAGAAATCACTCCAAAAATAACGTCACTCTTTGTTTATCTGTTTTCAAACGGTCTTTACGATCGTCAAATGAGAAAATATGGAGTTTTTTCGCAATGCTTTGTCTTCTCTTTACAGGATTTCACTCCTGTTGATTCTCTCGATCTGAACAAACGATTGAGGGCGTTGAGTATCCGTAGAGTTCCGCTAGCGATTGCTTTTCACGCTCTGGAAGGAAGGAAACGGAAGATTCTTATATATCCGTAATTCAAGCTTTAGAACGAATAGTAGCGGTAAGGATAATACTCATAATTATAATGATGATGATTATAATTATTCATAACGCTAATATTAATGAAAATAATAATGATGATTATACTACTCCTGCGAAAGAAGAACAGAAACTGAACAATTACCTCAAGGGACGTTATATCTCTGCGAAAGGACTTGGAGCTCGAGCTTGTTACCGCAATTAGCCAATCGACTGCCTCGCGAAGTGGTCAGGTTTTCGTCCAATCTGGAAGGGAGAGAAAAAGTTGATTAGGGTTTTGTTATTGCGATTGGTGGGTGAGGGTGATTAGTATAATAGATGGTTGTTTGAGGTGTTGGGTAAATTTGTTTGTGGGATTGGTAGGTCGTGTCGAGTTTTGGAATGCTATGTACATAAAAGGGGAAAAAAAAAAGATGATATCAAAAGTTATATACAGTTATCACGTCGTTGCATGAAACACAGCAACAAAAAAATCCCATTTGTTGCAATAACCCTTTTTTATGATAACTAACTAACTAAATAAATAAATAAATAAACTAGATAATATATGATCAAATAAATACACGAATGAATGAGCGAAAAGGACAAAATCACCTACGGGAGAGGTCGCTTAGACTCCGAACCGCAGACGAAGAGAGACTGATGTCGGAACACAAGTAGCATCTCTACTTTATACTCCTCGATTTTCTTCTTTTTTTTCTCTTTCTTTTTATGCATCTTGCTTCCCGGGAATATGACGGCGGTGGGTAATCCCGATCATATGAATGAGCTACTTTAGGAAAATGTTTGAAGTACGGAGCTAAATATGGTGATGACTTCTGGGAAATGTGACGTACGAAAGTTTTCCCGGATTATGCGGCCATGTAGTTATTGCGGATTTTAGTTGTTGCTGTTTGTTGCTTGGTATACGGTTGAGTTTGCATATCTTTCTCTTTTTCTCTCCTTCTCTTTCTCTCCGTCTGTTTGTATATTTATCTACCAGTCTTTATTTATCTATCATTCTGTATCTAGCTATTCATTCTTCTTGCTATTTGTATTTATCTATATCATTAATCGTATCTGTTTATCTTTAGCACTGATCAATGAGCAACGATAATAATGATAATAATAATAACAGACTTGGGGAATATACAAATGAATCTTTTATTCAGCAAACCCCTTTTTAGCCTTTCCGATTTTTTCCTTTATTTCCTAAAATAATAATGATAATTATGAATTGTAGGTAATTAACATTTACCAATTTGTCAAGACCAGAAGCATATTCACCCTCATCAAGAAACTTGCAGTCTAGAAAATGCAATTAATTCTAAGGAATCGAGGTAAACCTATATCGTGAAAACGAGGGCAGTTACTTCGCTGGAAAATAGAGGTAATAAAATCGACAGAAAACGAAGACAATGACATTCATAGAAAACGGACACCTCAAACTTATCGACGCCATTTTGGATTCTTGAGAATACCCCATAAGGCGATAACGAGCAAGAAGGCAAGAGAAGAAAAAAAAATGTCAGAGAAAACAAAAAAAAAAAAAAAAAAAAAAAAAAAAAAAAACGCGGAAAAAAGAAAACGGAAGAGGAAGAGGATGAAAATATGAATGAAAGGGACCAGGACGAGGAAGTTGAATGAGAACAGAGAGGAAATATAAGAAGATGGAAATATTAAAATAGATATATAGGTATTTGAAAGTAGAGATGGACGGACAGACAATAGACAAAAAAAAAAAAAAAAAAAAAAAAAATCAAAAGTGAGCGAAGACGAGATAACGAAGGAGAGAAAAGAGCATGTAGTAGGGATGGAGAGAGGGAGTGAACGAGAAGGAAGGCAGAAGGAAGAAGAAAGGAGGGAGAGAGAGGCAAAGGAGAAGAGGGAGAAAGGGAGGAGCAGAGGAGAAGAGGGAGAAAGGGAGGGGCAGATGAGAAGAGGGAGAAAGGGAGGGGCAGAGGAGAAGAGGGAGAAAGGGAGGGGCAAAGGAGAAGAGGGAGAAAGGGAGGGGCAGAGAAGAGGGAGAAAGGGAGGGGCAGAGAAGAAGAGGGAGAAATGGAGGGGCAGAGGAGAAGAGGGAGAAAGGGAGGTGCAGAGGAGAAGAGGGAGAAAGGGAGGGGCAGAGGAGAAGAGGGAGAAAGGGAGGGGCGAGGGTGGGCACGAAGGGTGGGCATAGAAGCGGCGACCAACGGCAAAGCAAGACCTGTTTGGCGAGCGTTCAGTGTTCACGTGCCATGTCCGTGGTGCTGGGATGAAAGCTGCCATGGTAATGAACCCGCCTCGCCTAGGGCTGGACAGGTAGGGGAGGGGGGGGAAGAAGGGGGGGAGGAAGTGGGAGGTGGGGTGGAAGGGGGGCAGGAGGTGGGAGGTGTGGTGGAAGGGGGGGGGAGGAAGTGGGAGGTGGGGTGGAAGGGGGCGGGGAGGTGCGAGGTGGAGGACGAGGAGGAGGAGGAGGAGGAGGAGAGAGGGAAGGAAGTAGGAGGTGGAGGAGGAGGAGGAAGAGGAGATAGTGATGGCGGTGGAGGGGATGGGAGGTGGTGGAGAAGGGATAGAAGGAGGGGAAGGAGATGGTAGATGTGGTGAAGGGGGAGGAGGAGGAGGTGGAATGAAGAGGAGGAGGGGCAGAGATGGAGGAGGAAGATGAGATAGAGTGGAAGAACGAGGAGAAGGAGAAGGGGGATGTAGTAGAAGAGAAGGAGAGAGAGGGAGGTCCTGGTGACAGCGGTATAGAAGGAGTAGGTATAGAAAAGGCGGCGGTGGAGGAAGAGAAATGGAGAGGGGGACAAGAGGAGATGAGTAACAAGAGAAAGAAAGGGATGAAAAAGAAGAGGAGGAGACAGGAACAAGAGAAAGGATAGGGAGAGGAAGATTTGAGTAGAGAATGAGAAAGAGCAAAAGAAACGAGAGAAGAGAGGAAAGGGAAGGAGGAGGAGAAGGTCATATTCGAAAGAGAGAGAGAGAGAGAGAGAATGGGTGGGGGGAGTCCTAGGGAACCAGGGGAGGGAGGGGGAGGAGAGAGAGGGAGAGAGGAGTTGAAAGGTAGAAGGCCTAATGTGACTGGGTCATGGATCAGAATTGAGACCAAAAAAAAAATGTTCAAACACATCCGTTTACGAAATATTTCTGTTTAGAAAATTTATATTCACTCATAACTTTATCCACCTAATGCTTCTTTTTTTAATTCTGATTAGTCAATTCTATTTAACTGTCATGTTCTAACTCTTTCTTCTTACTTTTCTATCTATATTTTTGGTCGGACGACATGGTCAACAAACGCAGTAAAACTTGTTTTGATGTGCCACTTGTACAACAAGATTTTTTTTTTATTATTTACTGGACCGATGTTGTTTGACTTGAATAATTCTAAACAAAATGGAGGAGGGGAATGCGAATCTTACAAAGAAATGGCGTTGACATGATAATGAAGTTTTTGAAACATAGGGTTCATAAGAGAAATTCTGATGTAAACTGTCTTTGAAGAGAGGCCCCTCTTATAAGGTACAGTCAACACCTGTCTATTAGAAACGATTTGTAAGCCACTGTATACAGGTTACATCAACACTGATTATCATAATGATGTCTACAGCTATGAAAGTACCACCATGGAACCGGGTAAAGATGAATTGAAAGAAGAGGTGGAGAGAAAGAAAAGGAACAACTAAAAAAGGTTACGAGGTAGGGAGAACAAGAGAAATATGAACAACCCTCTTTCAGGAGCTGTCACAATTTCATCTCCCCCTCGAACACTGCCATTCCCTTTCGGTCTGATTTCTAACATAATCCACCTCTCCTTTCTCATTCCTTATTGGTGCTGTCACTCCTCTCTTACCTCAGATGGTGTGAGGGACCTTCTCGGCGGCCTCGGGTCATCTACAACGTCGCAGGGAACTTCAGGGTAAAGAAGAGGTTTCTCGTCGACGCCTGCGAGTGGTCTTGCTGGTGTAGCAGGTAAGGCTTCTGGGAAACGACTGTGTTGCCGTGGCCTCGTCTGGCCCTTATATATACACGTGGACCTCCTCTCCCCCCCCTCCTCACCTCTCCCCTCGGCTCCCACCTCTCGGTCACATAGATCCCCTTTCCTCCCTCCTCCCCCGCCCCTCTCTCTAGCACCTGGTTCTCTCTCTCTCTCCCCCTCCCCCGTCGACCCCTCCCTATCATTTAGCTTCCCCCCCACTTCACTCTAACACGTGGCTCCCCCTCCTCCCTCTATTTCTCCACCTGTCCCCCACTCCTCCCCTCTCTCCCTCCTCCCCCTTCCTCACCCCTCCACCTTCTCACCTGTCAATTCTCTCTCACCTGTCTCCTCTCCCCTCTCCCCCACCTTCCCTTCTCACTTCTCCCTGACCTTCATTCCTATCCTCCCTGGTTATGGTTCCCTCCTCCTCTTCCTTCTCTGTCGCCTCTTCCTCTTTTTACATCTAACTGCAAGTCTTTTCTTTTCGTTCAGAATATATATTTTTTCTATCTGCCAAATATAAAGAGTTAAAACTTTATAGAATAATCATATATGAATGCACACATACCCCCGTATATATGTGTGTGTATATGTACATACACACACACGCGCACATATATATATATATATATATATATATATAAATGTGTGTGTGTGTGTGTGTGTGAGTGCGTGTTGATGGAGAGAGAGAGAGGGGGGGATGTAAGAAAGATAACTAAATACAGTGAAACAGATCTACAGACAGACAGTCTGACAGGTACAGAGGGTGAGCAAAGTGGAATGAGAGAAGTTGCAAACATGGATTCTGGTGTTGCAAAGTGCAGAGCCATCAATTCTTCAACAGAGGCGTCAATAGACACGTCCTCCTTCCCTCCTATTCCTATTCTCCCTTTTCCCTCATTCTTTCTTTCTCTTCTTCGGGTTCTCCCTCCTTCCTTTCTTCCTTCTTTCTTTCCCTCCCTACTTCCTTCCTTCTTTCCTTCCCTTACTTCCACCTTCCTTCCTTCCTTCTCTCCCTCTCTCCTTCCTCCCTTCCTTCCTTCCTTCCTTCCTTCCTTCCTTCCTTCCTTCCTTCCCTCTCTCCTTCCTTCCTTCCGTCCTTCCTTCCCTCACTTCCACCTTCCTTCCTCCCCTCCCTCCTTTCTTCCTTCCTTCCTTCCTTCCTTCCCTTCTTCCTTCCTTTCTTCCTTCCTTCCTCCCCTCCTTCTCTCCTTCCTTCTTTCCTTCCTTCCCTCCCTCCTTTCTTCCTTCCTTCCTTCCTTCCCTTCCTCCTTCCTTTCTTCCTTCCTTCCTCCCTTCCTTCCCTCCTTCCTTCTTTCCTTCCCTCCCTCCTTCCTTCCTTCCTTCCTTCCCTCCCTCCTTTCTTCCCTCCTTCCTTCCTTCTTTCCTTCCTTCCTTCCTCCCATCTCTCTCTCTCTTCACTCTCTCCCTCCTTTCCTTCATTTTTCCGCACGTGTTTTACAATTCCTTGCTCTATTGATATTCTTTTTCTTTTTATTTTGACTTTTCATTCATTCCCTCCTTCCTTCCTTCTTCCTTTGCCTCCTTCTCTTCTTTTCTCCTCCTTTGCCTCTTTCCCTTCTTTCCTCCGTCTCTTACTATTACCTTCCCTCCCTCCTCTTTTCCTTTCCTTCTTCATTATTCCTCTCATCATCTGCTCTTTTTCCCCTCCTTCGCTTCTTCACCTCACCCCTACTTTCCCATTATTTCTCTTATTTTCCTCGCTCACTCCTCCCTCCTTTCCTCCTCCTACTCCCTTTTCGTTTCCTTCCCTCCTTTCTTCCCTTCCTCCTTTCTTCCCTCTGTCCTTCCCTCCTTTCTTCCCTCTGTCCTTCCCTTCCTCCTTTCTTCCCTCTGTCCTTCCCTCCCTCTGTCCTTCCCTCCTTTCTTCCCTCCCTCCTTTCTTCCCTCTGTCCTCCCCTCCTCTCTTCCCTCCTTTCTTCCCTTCCTCCTTTCTTCCCTCCCTCCTTTCTTCCCTCTGTCCTCCCCTCCTCTCTTCCCTCCTTTCTTCCCTTCCTCCTTTCTTCTCTTCCTCCTTTCTTCCCTCTGTCCTTCCCTCCTCCTCTCCTCAAAACTCAATAATTCATTCTATTAAATGACCATCAACCGACGCGGGAGAAAGGTAAAGAAAACGGGATGTGGCTTGTGTGTGTGTGTGTGTACTGTGTGCACGTGACTGCAGTAGTTTGTGCACGTGCTTGCTAGGCTAAGGTCCGTGAAGGAAGTGTGCAAGAAGAGGTGGAGAAAAAGGTGGGGATGTAGGAGGGAAGAATGAGGGAGGAGGAGATAGAGAGGGTGGAAGATAGGTGATAGAGGAGGAGGGGAAGGGGGAGGAAGAAGAAACAGAGGAAGAAGAAGAAGAAGAGGGAGGGAGGGAGAGGAAGAAATTGGGAAAGGTAAATGAGAATGAAAAGGGAACAAAATACAAACAAAAAAAAAAGATAAATGGACGAAGAACACCTAAAAAATAAAAAAATAAAAAAAGGAATACGTAGAAAAAGGAAATAAAAAAAAGGAAGTGGAAGAGAGAAAGGAAGAAGATAAAAGGACACGAAGGAAGGGCAATGACGCATTTGCAACCACGCCGACACACATGGAAACTGGATGAAGCAGGTCTTGATTTTTTTTCCTTTTTTTTTTTATGTAACGTGCCTTGCTTTGATGATAATGTTCGTGATGGTAATTAATGCAAATGATGGTAATAGTGATATTGGTAATGATAATAGGAAGGAGACGATGATGAAGAAATGATGATGGGTATAATAATGATTATAATGATGATGATGATAATAATAATAATAAAAATTATAATAAAAATAATGATAATAATAATAATGATAATAATAATAATAATGATAATAATAATAATAATAATATAATGATAATGATAATAATAATAATGATAATAATAAAAATAATAATATAACGATAATAATAATAATAATAATAATAATGATAATAATGATTATAATAATAATAATGATAATAATAATAATAATAATAATAATAATATAATAATAATAATAATAATAATAATAATAATAATGATAATAATAATAATAATAATAATAATAATGGCAATAATAATAATAATAATGGTAATGATAATAATATGATAATAATAATAACGATAATAATAATAGTATTAATAATGATAACAAAATTAATGGTGATGACGGTGATGATAACCATTATGATAATAACAACAATAATAATAATAAGGATGATAAGGATAATAGTAATAATGATGATGATGGTAATAATAATAATAATAATAACAATAATAATAATAATAATAATAATAATGATAATAATAATAATAATAATGATAATAATGATAATGATAATAATAATAATAATAATAATAATAATAATAATAATAATAATAATAATAATAATAATAATTATAATGATAATAATAAGAAGGAGAATGCTATTAACAATAATAATGATAATGATAATAAAGATAATAATAAGAAAAATTATGACAATAACAATAGTAATAAAAATAGTAACAATAGTAACAGTAATAACAATAGAGAAATTAATAATAATGACGATAAAAGCACTATAAACCCCTGCACTTTATAAATGTCCATTTTAATTTTTGAATCTCTGATGCGTAATGAGGCTGGTGATGATGATGAAGAGGAGGAGAAGGAGGAGGACGTGATGTAATGAGGAGGAGGAAATAACGGTAATGAGGAGGAGGAGGAGGAGGAGGAGAAGGAGAAAGAGGAAGAGGAAGAGGAGGAGGAGGAGGAGAAGAATGTGATGGTGATGTTGAGGAGGAGGAGGATAGTACTGATAATGGTGATGATGATGATGATTATGATAATGAGGAGAATGAGGAGGAGGAGGATGGTGATGATGATGGGAAGGAGAATAGTACTGATAATACTGATGATGATGAGGATTATATTGATAGTGATGGTGATGCTGCTGCAGATGATAGTGATGGTGATGATGTGAGGACGGTAGTGGTAATGGCGATTATGATAATGATGATGATGACAGTGATGATTATGAAATTAGTGATGCCACTGATAGTAATAATACTGATGATACTGATGATGATAATGCTACAGGTAATGATGAGTACTGAAGAGAGTATGTGGACACTAAAAACTGATAGTAATAACATTGTGATGGTAATGATAACAGAAATGATCATGATAATAGTAATGAGTTATAATAATAGTTATAATATATGTTATTAGTATCATTATTATTGTCATTATCACCATCATTATTGTTGTTGATGTTATTCTTATCATTACTAACATTACTATTATTTTTATTGTCATTATTATCATTATAGACCTTATTATTATTATTGTCACTATTATACCTATTTAGCATTATCACCAATGTCATTATCATCATCATCATTATCATTACTAATTTTATTATTTTTATTATCAATATTTTAGATATTAGTCAAAAACGTAATTAACTGGGGAGCAATGTGTACAAATTTATATTTCACACAAATATAATAATATACAAATATACTCATTATTTAATAAAGTGTATATATCCATGAGCATAGTGAGTTATAAAGAGGTTATTGAACACGAGAGGTTAGACGAGTTAAATCACAAAAAAAGTGTGATGGGGGGGGGGGAGGGTAGGAGAAAAAGTAGGAGGGGGGGGGTGTCATGACGTCAGAGAGAGAGAGAGAGAGTATCACTGGAAAACGTAAGGAAGGAGGGGGGGGGGTAGGAAGGGAGAAGGGAGGGAGAGGGTGAGGCAGAGAAAGAGAGTTATTGTCAATCAGAAAAAGGGCGAGGGAGAGGGAGAGGGAGGGAAGAGAGGGAGAGGGAAGGAAGAGAGGGAGAAGGAAGGAAGAGAGGGAGAGAGAGAGAGGGGAGAGAGAGAGAGAGAGAGAGAGAGAGAGAGAGAGAGAGAGAGAGAGAGAGAGAGAGAGAGAGAGAGAGAAGATAGATAGAGAGAGAGAGAGAGAGAGAGAGAGAGAGAGAAAGATAGATAGATAGATAGATAGAGAGAGAGAGAGAGAGAGAGAGAGAAAG